GAGACTACAATGGTATTTTATGATCTCTGAGTTTTAATTATGACTATAAGTTGCAACTAGTGAGTCCTGGGTAGTGCAAATGGTTAAGCACTTACCTACTAATCCAAAGGTTGGCAGTTTGAGCCTACCTGGATCTGTTGCCAAGGAATGAACTGGTGATCTGCCTTCCACAGATCACAGCCTTGAAGCCCCTGTGGAGGGCTTCATCCCCTGCCCAGTGGGACTGCTGTGTGTCAGAATCTGCTTGAAAACAACCTGTTCCGTTTGAATTTTTAAGTGGCAACTTATGAGTCACAGTCAGGTGTTGTTGGCATGGGAACTGACGACAGGAATGTACCCTAGAATGTCCTACTGGTTGCTGTTCAGCTCTGTATAGAAAGTAGCAGAACTACCCATCAAACTGATCACTACAGCTATATAGATTCTCCACATCAAGACTCCCACAGACTTCTGTGGGACCTAGAATAGGCCAAGGGACTATGAGGGAGGCTGGGCCTTAACATCTTATAAAAATGACCTGACCTTTCATGCTAGGCCAGAAGGGCCCAGCACTTTGAATCTAGCTTCTTCCTGAAACCAGAGAGAAGCAGACGGAGCATCCTACGGCTGTGATGATGGGGTCTGTAGGGAACACTGGAGTCCTCATGGAGTCCCTAGGTGATGCCAAGGTTAACATGCTTAGCTGTCTGAGAAAGGTTAGAGATTCACATCTAACCAGAAGTTCCTCAGAAAGACTCAGTGACCCACTTATGAAAAATCAGCCATGGAAAACCCTGTAAAGAAAGTACAGTTCTGCTCTAACATACATGGAGGTGCCAGAATTTGGAATTAACTCGGTGGCACCTCCCGCTCTGCCCAGGGGTTCTTGTGTTAGGACGAGAGAAAAACTCTGGCGGGTCTGGCAGAGAACAAATGGTATATCTGACATGATCTGACTATCATGGAAGAAGTTCCTGATGGAGAAATTGGGTCTCAGCCAAGGAATCCAGACACATTCCTAAAAGCAATAGTCAGAGTGGGGATACCTGTGAAGAAAGTGGTACACCACACCTGTCAGAACGCAGCTGCACTGCAGTTCCCATCTCTGTGCACAGCCATAAACAAGATATTCGATTAATTTTAAAATGGCAAAAACAAGCAAGCAAAATCAAGTTCCAGAATTCAAAAATCGTGGTCAGCCCTTCCCAGTCATGCCTGCTCAGTCTTTGGATTTCATCTGAGCGGTTTTGTCTCCTTTTCATCCTTGTTGGTATGTCATTCCTCCTATTTGCATTTCTCTCCACGTGTAGGTGATACGTCCTCTGGGGCCCTTTGCGACAGGTGATATGTATGCCAGCCAAGGAGGCCATCTGGGTAGGGCAGCTCTAGGTCTCTTGAATTCCCAGCACTGGGGCCTGTGTTCAGAGGTTCCAACTATGGGATGGACTGTCAAAGAAAAACCTTCTCTCAATTGATTGGACTTTGAGAAAGCTCTCCCCTGTCGCTCTTGGCTAGCTTTGGGCAAGCCGCAGCTAACGAGAGGACAGAGAGCAAATCTAGACAGGAAGCTGGCCCTTGAAGGCATTTCTCCCCCTCTTCCTCTCCCTATACCTCAACTGCCCAGGATTTATTATGGGCTGGTTGATGAGTTTTGACATTGGTGAAGTACAGTGCTTGTTATAAGCAATTGTTGTCCTGACTTTCACAGTGGGTTTCTCCTGGTCTCACTATCTAGTCTCTTGCTCAACACCTTTTTTTT